AGGTGGAGGAGGAGGATAAGGAGGAGAGGCAGGAGGAGGAGGAGGAGGAGGAGGAGGCAGGAAGAGGAGGAGGAGGAGGTGGAGGAGAAGGAGGAGGGGGAGGAGAGGCAGGAGGAGGAGGAGGAGGAGGAGGAGGAGGAGGAGGAGGAGGGGGAGGAGGAGGAGGAGGAGGAGGAGGAGGAGGACCAGCGTAAACACAAGAGTCATCAACGCTGTTGGGGTAGACCCTCCCTCCAGGCTCCCTCTTCACAGGCTCCTACAAACGGTTCATCTCCACTGAGGGAACTGCCTCGCCGGAAGACAACCGCATGAAGATCCTGAAGCATGCCAAACAACCACGGATCAACCTGCCTTTTGCGTCTTGACGAGCCTGAGTCATGCCAGAACGTCATTCTTGGGATTTCAACACCGCGAACCAATGAACTGTCGCACCCGCATAGTCCTGAATCTTTACCGAACACCATGTCTGGTACGCTGATCATGGGAATCCGTGAAACTCTTGTCAACTTAACAAACGAATGCGCGCGGCGCTAAAGCGAGAGCCACATGTTGAAAAGGAACCGCCCTCAATCCGTGAAGCCCTTACAATTTTGTACAACGAATGCACGCGGCGCTCAGGCGAGAGCCACATGTTGAAAACCACCAGCCCTCAATCCACGAAACTCTTGCAATGTTTGAAAGCGAATGTGCGCGGCGCTAAGGCGAGAGCCACATGTTGAAAAGGAACCGCCCTGAATCCGCGAAATTCTTGCAATGCTTAAAAACGCATGTGCGCGGCGATAAAAGCGAGAGCCACATGTTGAGAACGGGTCGCCCTCAATCCACGCAGCTCTTGCACAATGTTTGAACGAATGTGCGCGGCGCTAGAGCGAGAGCCACAGTTTGAAAACCACCCGCCAAAAAAATGCGAAACTGCTGCCAATGCTTAAGCTTCAGGGTCATGAATGAAGGGGACGGCTCAGGCGAAACGACCAGACCGCCTTAAAAACTGGCCTCGGGATGCGACTGGGAGAAAATACTCATACAGAAAAATGAGGAGACGGAGGAGGTGGAGGAGGAGGAGGAGGGCGGGAGGGGGGAACGGAGGGGGAGGAGGAGGAGGAGGAGGAGGAGTAGGAGGAGAGGAGGAGGGGAAGAGGAGAAGGCGGAGAGTAGGAGGAGGAGGAGGAGGAGAGGAGGAGGAGGAAGGAGAAGGAGAGGAGGGAGGAAGGATGGACGGAGGGTAAGGAGGAGGGGAAGGAGAAGAGATCGAAGTAGGTGGAGGAGGAGGGAGGAGGAGGAGGAGCGGAGAAGAGGAGGAGGAGGAGGTGGAGGAGGAGGAAGGGAAGAGAAAGAGGGGGAGGCAGGAGGAGGATGGTAGGATGTAAGCTATGTGTAAGGAGAATGATTTGAGGAGGAGGACGAGGTCTGGCGTGTGTCGTCTTCTGCTTCTTCTCTTCTTCTTCGTCCTTGACTTACGTGCTCTTATTCTTCTTCTCGCTTCTGCGTGTTTAGCTGCTTCTTCTTTCTTCTTCTTTTCGTCTTCTTCTCGCCTTCGTCTCCTTCGTCGATCTTTTTGCTTCTTCTTCTTCTTCTTCCTTCTTCTTCTTCTTCGTCTGTCTTCTTATCTTTCTTTGTCTTCTTCCTCACCTTCTTCTTATGTCTCTCTTCTTCTTCTTCTCATCATTCTCCTCTTTCTTCTTCTTCTTGCTCATTCTTCCTTCTCCTTCTTCCTTATACGTCTCCTTCTCCTTCTCCGTCTCCTTTCTCCTTCTCCTTCTCCTTTCTCCTTCTCCTTCTCCTTCTCCTCCTTCTTTTCTTCTTCACTCTTGCTAGAAGGCAGGAGGAGGAGGAGGCGCGCGCTTAGGCTTGGCGCGCTGGCTGCCCGGATGCGTAGCGGGGCCCGGAGGCAGCCACGGCGCGGCGCTCTCAGCCCAGCCTGAGCGTGTCTGGCTTGTCGACGTCGTTCCAGGAAGCGGATGGCGTCGACGCCTTTTGGGCCGCCGTCTTGCCAGCGGAGCCATACTTCTCGTAGATGCTCCGCATATTTCTCTGGCGATCCTCCTCCTTCTGAGTGGCCAGGCGCTTGTCCAGCTCCTGCTCCTCTTGAGACTTGTGCTCTGGCCTTGGGCGCCGGATGTGGGCCCCCCGGTCCTCTTCTATCAGCCGCGACTCGTGCGTGGGCCCACCAGTCTGCATCGCCATGTAAAAGTCTGCAGCCTTTGGCCGCTTCGCATAGACCTGGCCCGTGCCGCACACCGCCTCCTCCTTGGCCTTCTCGCGCATCTCGTCCACCATCTGCTTGTCGGACTTGCCCTTGTACCTGGACCAGTCCGGCTCGCGGCGGTTGCTGCGACTCCGACTTCTCCTGCGCTCCCTGCTGCCGCTGCGGCTGCAGCTGCGGCTCTTGCTCCTCTCTTCTCTCAGGACGACCTTGCCCAGGTGGACCGTGACTTCGCCGCCGTCATCCAGCTGAACACGCACCTTCCGCGCGACGCGGCGGCCCACCAACTCCTTGGCCCGCCCAGAGACCCAGCGGCCATCCACGACAGCCTCTACCGGCGCGTCCTTTATCTTGACCTCTCTGAAGGTTACCCGATTGGCGTCCATCCGCTTCCTGTACTGCGCCAGGGGCGCGAGCTCCTTGTCCAGCGTTTGCCGGACCTTCACTGGGATGCGCGGCAGCGGCGAATTGAAGTACTTATCCTTGATGAGCAAGGATTCCACGTACTCTCCTATGGTCGTGGTGACGGTCTTGCCCCCATCCGCGTACTGAAGCTCCATTTTGTCGAAGAGGTACTCTTCTAGCTTCTCCCACAAGTGCGAGGGCGCAATGACCATCCGCATGTAAAGGAAGCCGACACACCTCACAATGGCAGAGTCGTTGTCGATAACAGCGTAAACCTCACCAAGATCCTCAGCATCAGGCATTGTGAACAAGCGGTACACGTGGCAGATAAAACAAGATGGCTGTGTGGCAGTCCCCCCGCTGTACACGTCCAGGGCGTCCGCGTAAGTCTTGATCTCCTCTATCAGATCATCGAGATCATTTAATTATGTCCAGCAGGCTCTTAAAGTAGCTCGACTGCAAGATCTGCTCCTTCAGCATTGGACTGCAGTTGAAGGTCCGCCTGGAGTAGTCCTCCACGTCCTCGTTCCTGCCGGTCAGCTCCGGCGCCAGCTCCTGTGGCTTCCTGCTGCCTGCGACCTTCTCGGCCGCGGAGGCCTCCCTCCTCGACGATTTCATATAAAGGGGCCCAGGGACACAAATAGACACAAACTCCAGGATTCCCCATACTTTCCCACATGTCCTGGGTTTTCGTCTTCCCCCCCACTTCCCATGTTCTCCCATGCTTTCCTGGGAGCCGACGACTGATTGTTTCTGTGTGTCTTCCCCCTCCTGATCATACTTCGCTGGCAGAACTTGCACTTCGGGTTGGGCTTCTTCGCGCTGTGCAGGTGGCACTTGGGGGCCTCCGCTTCCGCCGGCGGCTCCTGCGCGGGCTCTGCCCCCCCGGGCTCCTTCGGCTGGGACGCCTCTGCGGTGCCGGCCTCCGCTCGCTCCTCGGTCCTCCTCGCCTCGTGGTGCGCCCTCGTCTTCCGGGACAGCTCCTCGCCGGCCTGCTTCAGCTGCTCCACCAGCTGCTCCCGCCTCGCATCCTTGCTCAGGGGCACCTCCGGAGGCGGCGGCTGCGGGCTGCTCGAAGCGCTCGCGCTGGCGCCCGTGGCCTGCGCCACGGCGGCCAGCAGCGGGTTGGCCATGACGTCGCCGGCGGGGCCGCTCCCGCTGGCCTGCATGGCCGCCTGCGGAGAGGGCGAGGGGCCCGCGCTGGAGGACGACGCGCCGCCCGCCTGCATGGTGGGATGCTGCCCCATCTGCGGCGCCATCTGCCCCAGCTGTGCCATCGGGGCCATGCCCACTGCCATCGGCATCGCCATCGGCATGCCCATGGCTGGCATGCTCATCATGGACTGGGCCATCATCGGCATGCCCATGGAGGCCACCGGCATCATGCCAGCCATGCCAGTCATGCCGATCATGCCAGGCATGCCCATGGGCATCCCGCACCCGCAGGGCATTCCTCCCATCTGCCCCAGCATGGCGCTGCCCTGGCAGCCATACCCTCCGCCGCAGCCCCCGGCCCTGTTGCCGCAGCCTCCAGCCATTCCGCCCGCGCCAGCGCAGCCGCCACAGCCGCCACAGCCGCCACAGCCGCAGCCGCCGTAGCCGAACATGGCCGTCAAGCGCGGCTCATCGCGAGCAGCCGCGCCACGACTGCGCTGGCCGCGTGCCAGGCGCGAGCAGCCTGGCTGGAGCCGTGATGACCTACTGGCATGAAGCAGAGGATAAGCGAGCAAAGACTGGAGAAGGCAAAAACGGCATGACCACAAACTCTTGGGGGTCGGCGCGGACTTCTTGAATCTGCGCTGGGCCCTGAAGCGCGCCAGGGGCGGCGCCGGAGGCGCCGCCAGGGGCGCCCAGCGCGGATCCGAAAAATCCGCGCGGAGCGCCAAAAGTTTATGTTTATGCGTTTTCCTCCTTCGAGCGACACGCGTGTGCATGTGCACCCTCCACGGTCTCGCGTGGACGAGCAACCGCGCTCACATGCAGGCCGGCGGGAGCTCAGCGCGTGCGTGCAAACATGGTGTTGCCCTCGGAGTAGTGTTAGATCGGGCGTGTCCTCCTACAGGCGGGCTTTCAACGAAAATTAAAACATTCCACAACAAATAGTGAAAAGTAGTGGAAAATCGGCCCCAGACTTATTTGTTGTAACTATGTTTGAACATTCTCCCTGTGGAGGGACGTGCCCGACGTAAGGGTAGGGTGAGGGAGGAGGCAGAGCGGCCAGCCCGCGCTCTCCGAGCTGCCCGGCTGCTCAGAGCTTCGCTCCTGCTTGCCCGACTCCTCCCCGTCATCATTACGAGGAGGAGGAGGAGGAGGAGGAGGAGGAGGACGAGGAGGAGAAGGAGAAGTAGGAGGAGGATGGAGCCAGCCAGGCTGCGAGCGCGGGGGGGTTGCCAGGAGGTGCAGGCAGACCCATACATCCAATTTGCAAATGCCGAGTCCGAGGCAGAGCTTCGCAATTACGAACGCGTTGACGACACCAGGGTTTGCCCTGAGCCCACTCGAGGGCGCCGACAGCGACGGGCAGCAGCCCGTTGGATGGGGGGGGGCGGCGCTCCGACGACGACGAGCGGCAGCCCGCGGCATGGCGCTGCCGGCAGGCCAGCCTCAGGAGTACGCAGGAGGAAGAGAGCGACTGCGAGAGCGATGGCGAGCGCCAGGCTGCGAAGGGCACTACGCAGCCTCGTGCTGCCATAAGGAGCCCCGAACGAAGAACGAAGAGGCCTCTCCAGCCGTGGCGCGCCTTGACCGGGTTCCCCGACCTGCATCGGAGAAACGGCCCTGCCATCCGAAGCCCGAAGGGGTCCTTGTTTCGGCGTCTCGACCGTACGCACGAAAGGGAGCACGACGTGGAAGAGATCGGGCCCGGGGTAGCGGAGGGCCGTGTTTCCATCAACAAGAGGCAGCTCGTGCCGACACTGAGGAGCGCAGAAAAGGGTCGGACCGGGGACCATCAAACGAGCAACCCTGGCGGGGCAGGTCAGCTCGAGAAGCATCAGCAGCGCAACACCCCAACAGAGAGCGAGCCCCAGATCGGTCGCTTCGTTCTTCGCGGTCACGCGGTTTGCCCTCTGCGACCTCCTCACAATCATGATCATCCTCATCCTGATCATCCTCATCATCATCGTCATCATCAGCATCAATAGCATCAGCACCACCATCATCAGCATCAGCATCATCATCACCATCATCATCATCATCATCATCATCATCAGCAGCAGCATCAGCGTCAGCAGCAGCAGCAGCATCATCATCAGCATAATCATCAAAAGCATCCTCATCAGCAGCATCATCACTTCGCCATTACCATCCGCATCAGCATTAGCATCAGCATCCGTATCATCAGCATAATCACAATCTGTCATCACCCGTATCAACAACATATCATCCTTAGAACCATCATCGACATCATCAGCAGAAGCCTTTCCATTACCACCATCATCACCATCATCACCATCATCATCATCATCCTTATCATCATCATCATCATCATCATCCTCATCCTCATCCTCATCCTCATCCTCAGCCTCAGCATCAGCATCAGCATCAGCACCACCACCATCAGCATCAGCACCATCAGCATCAGCATCATCACCATCATCACCATCATCACCACCACCATCACCATCACCACCACAACCACCAACAGCAGCGACGGCGGCCCTGCCGGGCGCCCAGGCCGCGGAGGCCGCCCCGGCGCGGCCGGCGGGCGGCCGCGCGCCGCTCGGACCCGAGCGCGCGGCTGTTTGTGATGGGCAAATTGCCCACCACCACCACCACCATGTGTAGGACGGGAGAGAAGGGAGGATGATGAAGAAAAAAAAATAAAAAAAAAAAAAAAAAAAAAGAAGAAAAAAGAGGAGGTCCTCCTCCTCCTCCTCCTCCTCCTCCTCCTCCTCCTCCTCCTCCTCCTCCTCCTCCTCCTCCCCCTCCTCCCCCTCCTCCCGAGGTCGTGCCGCACGGCGTGGCCGAGGGTGCCGCGAAGATCGGCGGCGGCCTGCGCGAGGGGCCGCTGGCCGATCAGGTCGAGGGCACCGAGCACGGGGCGCGGAGCACGGCGCAGGTCGAGGGCAGCGGGCAGGAGGGCCCGCGCGGGGTGCCGCGCGCCGAGCAGATCGAGGGCGGCGGCGCGGACGACGGGGACGACGCTGCCGAGCAAGTCGACGGCGACCTGCACCGGCCGCAGGCCGAGCAGACCGAGGGCTCCGAGCACGGGGAGGCGAGCACCGAGCCGTCCAGGGGCGTTGACTGCCTGGTCGGCCCCCTGGGCGCGGCCAGCGAGTCCGACGACGTCGCCCAGGACAAGTCGCAGGAGCGTGGCACCTGCTCGCCGGCCCTCGCGCACGGCCTCGGCCCCCTCGTGTCCCGCATCGCCTGGGCACTGCTGCTCGTTGTTGGCTCGGCGATCAGGCTGATTTGTGCCAGCGTCAGCCCATCGATTTTCTTCTTGCGGCGCAGGCTACCCGAGCTGGTGGAGATCGGCATGAAGAGGATGCCGCCCGTGCCAAGCGTGCGGGCGCTGCTTCTGGCGGACGTATGGGGGCGCTCGCCGAGCTCGGGGGCCGCATGCGTCGGCGCGACGACGGCAGGCTCACCCTGACGCGGCCACCGCGACAGCGGCCGAGCGGGGCGGCGAGGCCGCTGGTGCTCGTGGCAGCGAGGGCAGCACCCGTGGCAGAGCCACCAACTGGAGCAGCCTGGGGCCGACGTGGCGAGACGCCCCGGGCCTCGCAGTGCCACCTCGGCCATCGCCTCGAGAAAGGGCGCGGCCAGTGCGCCGTGTGCAGGGACCCGGCCGCCGCTCCACTCAAGGAGGCCGCTGGCGCGCAAGTGAAGACATCGGGGGGCTGGGCGCGAAGGGCCTGCCACCGCGGTCAGCTCCTACGTCCGCCAGCGCGGGTCCCGGGAAGGCGACCGCATCGGTGGTACCAGCACGAACGCAGCGTGCTCGAGCTGGACGACCACCGCTCGACCGTTGCGCAACTCACGTTCCGACGAGTGCAAGCAGCAGTCGGGGCGGTTGGGCACGGCTCGAAAGACTTGGCTGGCGGCCCAGCAGGGGCCGTCGGCTGTTCCCGCCACTTGGGTGTGGGGCTCTCGTTCGCTGCCTGGCCCGCAGATCTGCGAAGGTGGCGAACTGCCTGCCATGGCTCCTGCTTGGCCTCAGGCAGCAGGGGTCATCGCCGGGCCGTCTGCCCGTGCCTGGCGTCTTGGGGCCGCCCCTCGGCGCCAGGCCCCGGGGGAGCCAATCGGTCCCCTGGGCGTGCACGCCGTGAACGAAAAGCGCGGCTGGACGTGCTGTGATCCCATGCCTCGTCAATTGGCACCTCATCAGCATCGTGATCATCGTCATCATCGTCATCATCATCAGCAGCAGAAGCATCTTCATCTTCGTCATCAGCATCATCAGTATCCTCATTATCACCAGCATCAGCACCATCATCATCAGCAGCATCACCATCATACGCATCATCAGCAGCATCACCATCATCAACATCATCAGTATCAACAACATCATCAGCATCATCATCAGCAGCATCAGGGGCAGCAGCAGAAGCACCAGCCACCACGGCATCCTCATGAATAGCGTTATCATCAGCAGCAGCAGCAGCCGCGATGGCATCCTCATGAACAGCATCATCAACACCATCATCATCCTCAGCATCATCTTCATCATCATCATCCTCATCATCATCGTCATTGTCATCAGCAACAGCAGCATCAGCATCATCATCAGTATCAGCATCATTGTCATCAGCATCATTGTCATCATCAGCATCTGTATTAACATCAGCCACGCCATCAACAATATCATCATCGTCAGCATCATCATCCTCATCGCCATCATCGTTATAACAATCAGCATCCTGATCAGCATCATCATCAACACCCTCACCAGCATACCATCATCATCATCAGCAGCAGCATCATCACCATTACTATCAGCATCGTAATCATCATCTTCATCATCAGCATCATCAGCGTCGTTACCATCGTCAGCGTCGTCACCAGCAGCAACAACAGCCGCGACGACATCCCCATCAGAATCATCATCAGCAGCATCCTCATCATCACCACCAACATAATCATAATCAGCATCCTCATTAACATAACCCACATCATCATTAGCAGCATCACCCTCAACATCAGCATCAGCATCATCATCTCCATCATCCTCATCATCATCACCGTCACCATCACCATCATCATCAGCATCATCAGCACCAGCATCCGCATCATCATCGCCATCTTAACAATAATCATGAGAATAGCAATCATGATCAGCATCACCAGCATCGTCGTCATCGTCATCGTCATCGTCATTGCCGTCGTGGCTGTCATCACCAGCACCTCATATCGTCAGCATCGTTATCGGTAGCATCCTCCTCCTCCTCATCATCATCAGCATCATCACCATCATCATCATCACTATCAGCATCATCATCGTGGTTGTTGTGGTCGCGGTCGTGGTCGAGGTCGACGTCGTCGCCGTGGTCGTCGCAATCGTCATCGTCATCGACATCAGCATCATCATCATAATCATCACCACAATCATCAGAATCATCATAATCGTCATCATCATCAGCATTATCATCAGCATCAGCATCAGCACCAGCACCAGCATCATGATTAGCATCATCATCCTTATCAGCATCAGCATCATCATCGTCAGCAGCACCATCATCATTTTATCATCATCAGCAGCAGCAACATCATCATCATCGTCGTCACCATCGTCGTCGTCGCGTATCGGGGTGCGCAAGAAGGGTTGCGAGGTTTTGCTCTCAGCAACTCTTGGGCGCCATCATCGGCAACCGACAGGCGGAGCCGGCAGGTCTTGTGGATAGCGGGGTGGGCTCTGAAGTACTCGTGGGGCCTCACCCCGCATCGATGTCTAAAAGAGCAAGGACGGGCCGGAGGCCATACCGACATCGGCACAGGAAAAGCGAGGAGAGTGGAGAAAGAGGCTGCGCGAATGAAAACGCAAGAGAGAAAGAGGAGCGCGACAGAGCGGCCAGGACCTACGCAAGCGTAACGGCGTGGAAAAGTGAGACAAAGGCCATCCCGTGCCGTATTTCAGAGATGGTCACCGCCAGACGGGCTCTGACTATGCCCCCCGCGTCCCTCGTCCTCTCCTTGTCTCCACCCTTCCGCTTCCTCATCGTCCTCCTCCTCCCCCTTATCCTCCTCCTTGTCCTCCTCCTCCTCATCGTCCTCCTCCTCCCACTCCTCATTGTCCTCCTCATCCCCCTCCCCCTCCTTCTTCTCCTCCTCCTCCTCCTCCTCCTGCCACGGCTGGGCTCGGCTCAGCGAGCCGTGGTGCTCCTCATGGGCGGTGGTCTGACATGTGGGCCAGGCGCGCTTCTCGAATGCCAGGCGGTGCGTAGGCCGCCCTCGTCGGGCGAACAGGCAAGCTGCCGTGTCATTGTGGGTCCTCTGTGCCTTTCCAGCTGCCGTTTCAGTGTGGGCCGTCTGGACCGCCTCCTCCATCTCAACCTCCAACTCCTCCTCCTCCTCCTCCTCCTCCTCCTCCTCCTCCTCCTCCTCCTCCTCCTCCTCCTCTCTCCTCACTCTCCTCCCCTCCTCCTACTCCTCCTCCTCCTCCTCCTCTCCTCCTCATCCTCCTCCTCCTCCTCCTCCCTCCCTCCTCCTCTCCTTCCTCTCCTCCTCCTCCTCCTCCTCACTCCTGCTCCTCATGCCTCTCCTCCTGCCTCCTGCCTCCTGCCTCCTCCTCCTCCTTCTCCTTCCTCCTCCTCATCTCCCTCCTCCTCCTCCCCCCCTCCCTCCTCCTGCTCCTCCTCCTCCTCCTCCTCCTCCTCCCCCTCCTCCTCTCCTCCTCCTCCTTCCTCCTCCTCCTCCCTCCTCCTCCCCCTTCTCCCCCCTCCTCCTTCCTCCTGCTCCCCCCGCCCCTCCGCCTCCTCCCTCCTCCTCCCCTCCTTCTCCTCCCTCCCCTCCTCCTCCCCTCCTCCTCCGCCCTCCTCCCCTCCTCCTTCCTCCTCCTCCTCCTCTCCTCAACTCCTCCTCGCCTCTATTGTCTCTGTCCCTCGTGCCCCTTCCCCTCCCTCCCTCCCTCCCCCCCCCCCCCCTTTCCATCCTCCCTCCTCCCCTCCCCTTGTCGCTAGTACCTCCTTTTCTTCTCCCCTCCTCCCTCCTCCTCCATCCTCCCCCTCCTTCCTCTGCTATCTCCTCCCTCATCCCTTCTCCCTCCTCCCCTCCTCCCTCCTCCCCCCCTCGCTCCTCCCTCCATCCCACTTCCGTAGAGTTACCCTGGCGACGTACCCAACCTCTGCGCAATGCGGGGCAGGAGTAGCTGGGGAGATTTGACGAGAAGGCGGCGACGTGACATGGACGCATATATTTCTGCGAGCGGCATTCGGAAGGTTCGGAGGCCCCCAATCAAGGGAAACACGACGAGCAACTAAGTGAACCGCTGAGTCACTAAGGAAGACGCAAGGTCCAAAAGGAGACGGTGGGCAAGGGGCTTGAAACGTCAGCGGGGCAGCAACAACATGGCATGGCCCCCCAAGGACGGCGAGGCCCCGCTCAGGTCTGCGCGGTGCCTCTTTCCGCTGGGCCCACCAGCAGCCCTCGAAAGTGGCGACAGTTTCGCAGATCGCAGCCCCCCAGGGACGGGGAGGTCCCGCTCAGATCCGCGCGGGCCTCACTCCGCTGGACCCACCAGCAGCCCTCGAAAATGGCGACAGTTTCGCAGATCGCAGCCCCCCAGGGACGGGGAGGTCCCAGGTCCGCGCGGTGCCTCACTCCGCTGACCCACCAGCAACCCTCGAAAGTGGCGACAGTTTCGCAGATCGCAGCCCCCCAGGGACGGGGAGGTCCCGCTCAGATCCGCGCGGTGCCTCACCCCGCTGGACCCACCAGCAGCCATCGAAAGTGGCGACAGTTTCGCAGATCGCAGCCCCCCAGGGACGGGGAGGTCCCGCTCAGGTCCGCGCGGGCTTCACTCCGCTGGACCCACCAGCAGCCCTCGAAAGTGGCGACAGTTTCGCAGATCGCAGCCCCCCAGGCAAAGCAAGAGGAGACAAGAAGGAGGGGGGGGGAGGCGGGAGGCAGGAGGCGGGAGGCGGGAGGAGGAGGACGCGACCGCAGTGCTCTATTCAAAACGAGTACCCAACCAAGGAGGGTTGGGAAATAACTCCTCCCCGTCGCACCCCTAGGCCGGTCCGGTAGGGCGTGCCGGGCGTTTCGCCCGAGACGCCCTCACCGTTTATGTGGCTCTCGCCTTGGCGCCGCGCACATTCGACTTCAAAGCTTGCAAATATGTCACCGATGGAGGCTGGGCCGTTTTCAAGTTGTGACCATCGCCTTAGCAACGCACACATTCGTGTCAAAAGTTTGCAATAGTTTCACGGATGAAGGGCGGCTCCTTTTCAACATGCGGTTCTCGCCTTAGCGCCCCGCACATGCGTCATAACAGCTTGCAGCGATTTCGAGGGTTCTGATGGTTGACGTCCCAGCAATGGTGTTCTGGCACGATTTAGGATTGTCAGGACGCGACAGTCACGTTGATCCGCGTTGTTGACGTCCCAGAAACGGTGTTCTGGCTCGGTTTAGGGTCGTCTGGTCGCAACAGTCACGCTCCTTCGCGGCGTTGGGGCCCCAAGAATGGTGCCCTGGCACGGTTGGAAAGTTTCAGACGGTTGTCCTCCAGCGGGGCTCTCCCCGCTGTGAAAACACCCCTTCATCGGAGCCCGTGAAGAGGCAACTTGGAGAGAGGGCTTACTGCAACATCGTTGGCGAGTCTTGGACTTACACTGGTCCCTCCTCCGCCTCCTCCTCCTCCTCTTCTTCTTCTTCTTCCTCCTCCTCCTCCTCCTCCTCCTGCTCCTCCTCCTCCTCTTCCTCCTCCTCCTCCTCCTCCTTGGAGGCCCGCTCCCGCCCGCCCCCACCCCCACCCCTTCAGGCCCTGCCGCGCGCCGCGGAGAGGCTGCTCCCGAGGCCGACGGGTGCCGCCACCGGGAGCCCTCTTCGTTGAGCAGGGACCGACCGTCCAGGCATTTCTATAGGCCTACCACGACATGCTCTTAGAACCCCAAAATGTTCTAAGAGCAAAAACAGTGTTCTTAGAACACAAACCCGACGTGTTGAAACAAGACAGTCCCAGCCAGAAATGTTCCAAGAACATCTCGCGGAAACCACGACAGGTTCTCCAAAAAACGTTTGGTAGGCCTATAGGCACGCTAGGACGCTTCGCCACTGCTTGACTTCGCGGGCGGGCGGGTTGGCGATGGTGTGCTTGCGCAGGCTGGCGTCAACGCGACCGGCCGCTGAGCGGGGCGAGGCAGCGCAGAGGGGCGGCCTTCCTACTGGCCGAGCAGGAAGTTGATGGCCTGGTTGACGTCGCCGTTGGCCATCTGCAGCGCCTGGATGTTGGACGGCCGGTCCGTGAAGCCCATGCCCGCCAGCGTCTCGAGCTGCGTCGCGAAGCGCTCCTCCGCCGGCCTCCCGTCGTCGGCCGCGGGGGGGGCGCCCGGGAAGCCGCCCATGCCGCCCATGCCGCCGCCCATGCCGCCCATGCCGCCGCCCATCATGGCCTGCATCGCAGCCTGCATCATCGCAGGGTCCATGCCGCCCATGGGGTTGGGCGGAGCGGCCGCGGGCGTCGTGGCCCCGGGCGCCGGAGCGCCGCCCGCCGGGGCCCCGGCGCCCTGCATGGCGGTCTGCATCTGCATGACGGCCTGGAGCATCTGCGGGTTGAACATGGCCTGCATCACCTGTGGGTTCTGCACCATCTGGGCGAACATCGGGTCCCTCTGCGCCATCTGCTGTAGCATCGGGTTGTTCTGGATCATCTGCTGCAGCATCTGCGGGTTCTGGGACAGGTTCTGCATCATCTGCTGGATCATCGGGTTCTGCAGCATCTGCTGGATCATCGCTGGGTCCATGCCGCCCGCGCCGCCCAAGCCGGGCATGCCGCCCATGCCGCCCATGCCGCCCATGCCACCCATGCCGCCCCCGGGAGCTGCCCCCGGTCCTGCGCCCAGCGCGCCACCCATGCCGCCCATCATCTGCATGGCGGCCTGCATCATGGCGGGGTCCATGCCGCCCATGCCGCCCATGCCGCCCAGGCCGCCCAGGCCGGCCATGGGGTCCGCGCCGCCCATGGGCGCCGCCGCAGGTGTCGCAGCGGGGGCCGGGGCCGCCGCGGGTGTCGCAGCAGGGGTCGTGGCGGCCCCGCCCTCGGCGGGCGTCCCTGCGCTGGGTGCGGACTTGACCACGTGCATGGTGTTGCCGGACTCCACCTTGTGGCTCTCGAGCGTCTCCGCGTCCTTCAGGATGCGGCCCTTGTAGATGATCTTCATCTGCGCCGGCTCTATGTTGCACTTGGGCTTTGCCAGGTTCTTAACGTCCAGTATCGTCATCGAGGGCTCGAGGTCCAGCGAGAACGTGCTACCGCCAGACCCAGAGAGCTTGAAGCTGACGCTGAGCGGCATCCCGCGGCGAGGCGGAGGGGCCCGATGTCCTTGCTTGGCGGCGCCCATCGGGGGGAAGGCGCAGAGGGGTGCGCCTCTTAGAAGCACACCGAGGCCTCCCAAGGAGCCCCCTGCCTTCTGAGAAGCTCATCCGCCTGCTTTGAAGGTCGCCACACTCGCGCCACCCCCCCTACGAGCGCCTCCGGCCTCTTCACCGAAGCTCGCGCCTTCCTGGCGCGAGTCGCGGGGCGCTCTCTGCGCAGGGAGCCGCGGCAAAGAGCTCGCGCGGTCGCGCCTGAGCCAAAGTGGCTGCGGAGGAGCGGGTCCTCCGACGGCCTGGCGTCGTGATGGTCCGCACAGCTTCGCACACGCTGCTTCAACAGTCAGCTGCTGAGCGGTCAGCGCTGGGCGCACTTGTAGGCTCAGCAGGATTGTCACTTGTACCGCACGATGCTTCGGTAGTCAGCTACTCATCGGTGAGTGGACGCACCTGTAGAACCAGTGGGATGGTCACCTGTACCAGGCGTTCTATCACTGATTCCGCAGAGCGTCGGGCGACGAGCGCCAGACACGCGGGCCGCAAGCAGCATAAGCAGCAGCAGCAGCGGCAGAAGAAGAAAGATGAGCAGAAGTGGACATGCTGGTGAACGCATGAGTGAACGTAGGAGAGAAGGGTCAAAGTATCGCAGTAGCGTCTTCAGCAGTAGCTACACGTCGTTCATTTCCAATCGTGCTCGTTTCTAAGTATGCTCGTTTCTAATCGTTCCTGGCCCCCTAGTGCCCAGGAAGAGGCCCAGGATAGAACAATTTGAACTGAAAGGATCCTGGCCCAAAAAACTTCAATAAGCTTTCGAATCATGAGAAATGAACCATGTATGGAAAGACTGCTACTACTGATAGACTTGCCTGCACGCGATGAAACTGTGCATGCAAAAGCGCTCACGCCATGGACTGCAGCACGGAAACAGCGCTACGTACCGCACGGAAAAACAGCCCACGTCACATAGTGTGAAGTTTCACCCCACGTACCAACTGGTCCGAAGAAGCGGGCAGATAGATTAAGGGGGAACTAGGAAGGCGCTGAACGTAGATGTAGTTTCCGCCCTCCCCCTCAAATGGAGGGGAAAGGTCAAACCACAGGAGGAGGAGGAGGAGGAGGAGGAGGAGGAGGAGGAGGAGGAGGAGGAGAGACCCTCCCACCCACCCACCCTGCCTCACCCTGGCCTCGGCCGATCCTTCGGGCTAGCCGCTAGCCCTCCTCTGCCTGCGCCGACGCCTCCACTTCCGCCTCATCCTCCTTTTGCTCCCCCACCCCCACCCGCCTACCTACCTTCCTCCCTCTCCACCTTCATCTCTCATCCTATCTTGCTCCTCGCCTCCCCTCCTCCTCCTCCTCCTCCTCTACCGCTGCCGGGTGGACCCTTCAGGTTTTTGCCACGCACTTGAGCTTTGGCCTTGGCTTCAGCTGCCAGTGCACTGCGAAGCACCATCGGGCCAGCTCATCCGAGTCGGCTTTCCGCTCGCATGGGTGCCTCCCTCCCCAAGCCTCCGCCGCCGACGACCACGAGAACGACGACGACGACGACGACGACGACGACGACGACGACGACGACGACGACGAAGTCGACGACGAAGTCGACGACGAAAACGTCGGCGAGGCCCTTCGGGCAGCAGGGGCTCCTGCGCGCCCCGGAGGTACGCGCAGAGCGGCCGCCCCCGCGCATCGCAGGCGCGCAGGGGGGCGGTCAAGTGCTCCACCTGGCGCCGAAGTCGCCGTCGACGTCGTCGTCGACGACGACGAAGTTGAAGTCGAAACCGCCGACGACGAATGCGGCGACGATTTCGCCAGTGACGACGACGACGACGACGACGACGACGACGACGACGACGGCGACGATGACGACGACGACGACGACGACGACGACGACGACGAGCTCCAGCGTGCATCTCAGTCTCTGGCCTTCCCACGCGTGAGTGCCTGAGTGAGCGACTGAGCCCTTGGGGTGCCCATATGCTCCTCCTGCTTTATCGCGTTGCATAGGGCCTTCAAGAGAAAATGCCCGGGCCACCAAACAGGCAAACCGCCTGAGGCATCCCCACGGCGACTCCTCCTTGGGGTGTTCAAATGCCACGCGTGCTATATGGCGGTGCTCCTGGGGCCGTCAGAAGAAAAGAGCTTGGTCACCAAAGAGGCAAACCGCCTGAGGCATCCCCACAAGCTGGACAGGAACGGGCAGGTAGGATACTCCCTGGTGGCTCCTCCTTGGAGCGCCCAGATGCCACGCCTGCTTGATGGCGGTGCTCCTGGGGCCCTCAAAAGAAATAATTCTGGGCAAGCAGACAAGCAAACCGCCTGAGGGATCCCCACAATGAGGGCGCAATCGGAGACGTGGATTCCTCCCAGGCGGCTCCTCCTCCTCCTCCTCCTCCTCCTCCTCCTCCTCCTCCTCCTCCTCTTCCTCCTCCTCCTCCTCCTCCTCCTCCTCCTCCTCCTTCTCCTCCTAAGGTCCTGGACCCCGACCTGGGAAGAGCAGCCCTGGATGAAGTGTTGGAAAAAATCTGAGCTTCTGGACCAGGAGATCGATTTGGAAAAACGTGATGCTACAAAAGCTTGGCACGAGTGGGCACAGGTGGGCACGCAAGGTAATGCTGAGTGGGCCCACAAGTGGACGAAAAACCTTGACGCTTGGAGCCACAAAGACGTCCCCAGGAAAGGCATCTGGAGGGGCCGACCCTCGAAATTGCTGGAATCCGAAGCTGGGCAACCCAGTGACCTGTGGGATACTACGGTGGAAAGGCCTCAGTACCATGTGCCCCCAGGGCCATTCGAGCCATATCTCTCCCCAGTCGAGCCCCAGGACGTCATTGACGCCGCCAAAAGGTACTCACATGTAACGGCCTCGACTTGGGACGGGTTTCACCCCCAGCATTTCCAGAGCCTGACGCTTGAACAAGCTGGCCTAGTTTGCCGCGTTCTGCATCTCGTCGTGAAGGTAGGTGCTACGCCCACCCACTTGCAAGCGATTGTCGCGGTCTTGATCCCCAAAACAAAAAACCAAAAACGCCCAACCAAACTACTGCCCAGTTCCGAGGCATCGGGGTGATGCCCAGGATGTACAGAATTTGGTCCTAGGTCCGACAAAGAGAAGCCCGACAACGGGAGGGAATGCACCGACGCCCGCTCCTAGCCCACCGGGCGGGAAAGAGTACATATCACCGAAATTGTTGTTTCGCCAGAGTCTCCAGGCGGAGCACGGAGTGATCTGCCGAGAGCCGACTCACTCAGGAGCTGTGCTGTGGGACCCCAGCAACTACTAGGAGCACAGTAGTCACCAGACGCTGATAGAGAGGGCCCACGACACAGGCTTTAGAAGCGTCCTCCTGAAGGGCATGTTAAACCAGCACAGCAGCACGAGACTTGCTGCTACCCGAGACCTGGTCCAACATGTGGACCACCCTACCCGAGGTATTGCAGCTGGTTGTGGATGGGCGACCTTTCTAGTTCAAGTTTACAGCCTGGGCCATCTGGACGCCTGGACCCTCAAAAAGTCACCAAGGCACGGACCTGCAGATGTTTATGGACGACCTATTCCAGGGACAACAATACTGCGACCCGCAAGCCCTAGTCCGACAGTTGCAGCACTCCGCGGCTAGGCTCGCCATCCCCGTGCAGGACGAGTTAGACTGCAAGCTCGCATTGCACAAGGCCCAGGTCATAGCTTCCACCGCCAGACTGCGTGGACTCCTTCGGAAGGCCCTTGGCAAATACGCAGGCCCGACAGATGCACATGAAGCCACCAATTTGACCATAGCTAGCTCCGCGGGGGCCTCGCGTCTTAGAATCAAGAGAAGACTCGCCAAGGCCACCCTGTACAAACGCTTTGCTAGACACAAAAGCAGACGACGCCGAATACGGGCCATAAGGATTGCGAGAGGGGACACGCGTAAACTCTGGAAGACGAGACGTCAGCAGGCCCTTAGAGATGGGACGGAAGTGGTTGGTGTTGACCCTCAAGAGCTCCAGACTGAGTATCTTAAAGGTGGTGGGCCCCCGCTGTGCGACACGCAGTCGATCTTTGAGCCTGGCGGTGTTAGGAGACCCCACGTGGTGAGCGGGCCTCGGGCCCGCCTGGACTTGGGCTACGATGTTTTGGCGCGCTGCGACCCGACCGAGCCATCCTCGGGAACTCCTAGAACTGAAGGCCCTCGCTGAGCCCATCCTCCAAGCTCCTCCCTCCAAATGGGCTGCCGAAAGAGGCTCCTGTAGGGCTGCTAGACTTTCCCTGCGTAGAACTGACAGGAACTATTCTGATGCTGGTGACTTTCCGGGTGCGAGCGGAGCCCGACATCCGCATACAACCTGCACGCCCAAAATGAGTTCGCAAAAGATGCGGGAGGCCTGGGAGCAGGTCGTCCTCAGGAAGGCAGCCCAGAAGCTAGGACACCCCCAGGAGACCCTTAATGTGGACATAGCTAGGGAAATACTGGTGGAGCCGACCTTATCCAAGAAAGCCAGATCCACCCTAATTCGTTTTCTCACCTCAAGCATCTGGACCAACGCGCGCCTGCAGACTGCGGGCTATGATACAGACGGCCGATGCCAGTGCGGACATGCTAGAGATGATTTAAAGCACAACCTCCTGCACTGCCCTCTCGGCGCCGCCCTTAGAGAGCCATTTACGACAGACGAGCTTGACACGATTCCGAGGGTGTCTGATCTGGCTTTAGCATACGGGTATCAATTCCAACCAGAATTCGATAATGGGGCTCCTGAGGGGGTTGGTTTCGAATACGCAGAGTTTTGGTGCAGAGACCCTAGCCTTAGGCCTGAGGAGACCCTGACTGGGGAAATTGTCACGAACGGATCCTGCTTGAAACCAGGGGGCACAAAGCTTATAACGCAGCGGGCTGGTCGGTCAGATCGATCGATGGGCACGGAGAATTGTTTGCCTACATCGTCGGGCGTGTGGGCAGTCACCTCCCTTCGTCCTCCCCCGCTGCTGATCACTGTGATGTGCTTGCTGCTGGTCTCAATGCTCACCCACACGCCCAGATGTATGTTGATGATCACGGAGCCATAGACGTGCATAATAAGGCCGAATTCGCCAGGGCCGATTTCATGGGGCCTTCAAGGTCCTGGGCGGCGCGTGTCCGACCCCCCTGCGGCCGAGCGTAAACTAGATTAAAGCGCACGTCAACACTTCTGAGCTCCAGCCTGCCACCCTTGATTGGAGAAGGGCTAAAAGCAACGATGCTGCAGACAGGTATGCCAAGATCGCAGCAGCCCGAGCCTCACAACCTAGTTGGAATGGAATCGAAGCCCAGAAGCAGCAGAACCAACTGCTAGCTAAGTATCTTCGTTACGTTTCAGAGGCCCTACACCTGTGGCCGACAGTGGCCCCCTGGGTCGGTGCCAAAGCTTTCGACAAGCCAACCCAGAGCTTGAACCCGCCCACGGGGGCGGCAGCCGCTGGACCCTCTTGGGACCTTCCTCCTCCGCCCTCGCCTGTGAGCCCTCCCCCTGTCTCCACCACGTAAAGACCGAGGAAGCACAAATGGCACCCCTGAGGGAAAAGTTTCCTGCGCGCTGCTTGTAGGCAACGGTGCGGCAGTCAATATGCCATGCAGCGCCTAGCCCGAGAGACCTGCCCAGGATTTTGCCAGAGCCACGCTGATTTAGTGAACAATCCCCCTGGACACGTGCCCTACGTTTTCGGTGATGCTGGCGATGTTACCCCGTTTAGTGTGATCCTCTGCTGGATGTGCGGAACCTTCACGGAAGGCACACGAGGATTTCAAGATGAGTGCCCAGGCGAGCCCCCGAACCATGGCAGAAGGCTACATAAGCAACGTGCTATGGAGGTAGACATCCCAAGGGGGCCGCCAACTCGCCGATAATTTTGAAAGCTCCGATCCCGTTGGCCCAGCTGGCCAAAGAACTAGCTGAGGCAACCCCTACCGACCTCGAGATTGGTAAACCGAGCGGGGAGCTGTAAGCCTGGATCGTTTCACGAGACGAGAAACATCCGCCTGTCTCCGTGGCTGTCCCTGTCGTTTGCCGTGATAGCCCCCCAGAGGGGCAGTGGATTGATGCCCAGGACGGCCCGAACCCCCACCTTCAGTCTGAGCGCTGGTCCTCATCCTCCTCCTCCTCCTCCTCCTCCTCCTCCTCCTCCTCCTCCTCCTCCTCCCCCTCCTCCTTCTCCTCCTTCTCCTCCTCCTCCTCCTTTTCCTCCTCCTCCTCCTCCTTCTCCTCTCTGGCTGCCTGAAAAACACGCATGTTAGTTATGTCGCGATGATCATGGGGCCCTCAAGAGAAAAGAATCTGGGCCACCAAAGAGGCAAACCACCTGAGGCATCCCCACACTCTGAGCGCGAACGTGCAGGTGTGATACTCCCTGGTGGCTCCTCCTTGAGGTGCCCAAATGCCACGCCTGCCATATGGCAGTGAGGGGCCCTCAAAAGACAGGAGTCTGGGCCACCAAACAGGCAAACCACCTGAGGCATCCCCAAAATCTGGGCGCAAACGGGGAAGACTGGCCCTCCCTGGCGGCTCCTCCTCCTCCTCCTGCTTCTCCTCCTTCTCTTCCTCCTGCTCCTCCTCCTCCTCCTCATCCTCCTCGTGGTGCGCAAAAACCACGCACGTTGGATCGCGATGATAATGGGGCTCTGAAAAGAAAGGAGTCTGGGCCACCAAACAAACAGACCGCCTGAGGCATGCCCACAATCCAGGCGCGAACTGACGAGTACGATACCGCCTGGCGGCTCCTCATTGGGGTGCCCCACTGCCACGCCTGCTACACCGCGATGAGAATGGGCAGAAGAGCCCGGCCCACCAAATAGGCAAACCGCCAAACGGATCCCCGCAATCTGGGCGCGAACGGACTCGCAAAATCTGGACGCAACCGGTATACTGCGGTGAGCTGGAGGGTGTCAGAGAGTCCGAGAATGAGTGAGTATGGGTATCACTACGCACTAAGCTGAGTATGAATGCGCATGAGCGCGTATGAGTGCAAGTGTTCTGTGTGTGAGTGAATCTGAATGTCAGCGACTTGGGGTATGAGTGATCCTGTGTATGAGTGAGTCGAAGCACGACTGGGTCTGAGCACGAGTGAGTCTGAGTATGAGTCCACGTTTGAGTCTGAGTTTGTGTTTCGTTTTGAGCTTGAGTGAGTCTGAGCGTGAGTGAGTCTTAGTGTGAGCGAGGAGGAAGGAGGCGCGAAGGAGGAAGGAATGGAGGCATCACAACAGTAACATAAAAACCCAGACTTAGAATACGGGAAATCAGCGTCCAACAAACAGCAACTGTCGGCGTTCCGCGCGGCTCTCTTGGAGCGGCGCTGGACCCCCCGCGCGGAGCTCCGAACATGCATGTTTGTGCAGCTCCTTCTTTAGTATTCTTCCGATCATTAAGACTCGGATGATGAGTATGATGCGTCCTCGTCTTCGTCTACTTCGACCTCGCCGGAACCGATCGAGGAGTCCGGAGTCGATGACCAATCGGATCGATCGTATCGAGATGGACCTTGCCTCCTCCTCTCCTCGCTCCAGCCTTTCTCGCGCGACCTGGCGCTGCCCAGATTCAAGAGAGCTTCACGCGACCGATGGAGAGATTCATGCGCATGCTGTCCGGGCAGCGGGGGGCGAGGAGGCCCCTGCGCATCGCTGGCATGCCTCTGCGCGTTGCGTCGCAGCCTGGCACGCGACCGGCACGGGGTACTGCGATGCCCTCTGAGGTTGGCTGTTGTGCTCATGTGCGATGCTGCACTTCTCCTCCTCCCCCTCATCCTCCTCACCATCATCATCATCATCATCATCATCATCATCATCATCATCATCATCATCATCATCATCGTCATCATCACCATCATCGTCATCATCAGCATCATCATCATCATCAGCATCATCATCATCCTCATCATCATCAGCAGCATCATCATCGTCATCACCATCGTCATCATCATCATCAACATCGTCAGCATCACCATCATCATCATCATCATCATCACCAGCATCACCACCATTATCATCATCATCATCATCATCATCATCATCATCATCACCATCGTCGTCGTCGTCGCCTTCATCGTCGTCATTGTCATCGTCATCACCATCAGCATCATCATCATCGTCATCATCATCATAATCAGCATCATCATCTTCGCCGTCGTCGTCAGCAGCAGCAGCCGCTGCAGCAGCATTAGCCGCTACAGCAGCAGCCGCAGCATCCTCATCATCATCATCACATCATCGTCAGTACCAGCATCATCATTATCATCATCATCATCATCATCATCATCATCATCATCATCATCGTCATCATCACAGCATCATCATCATCATCATCTTCATCATCATCTTCATCATCATCACCACCGTCATCAGAACCACCACCGTCATCAGCAGCATCACCACCACCACCACCAGCATCAGCATCATCATCATCACCGTCATCACCATTGTCATCATCAGCATCAGCATCGTCATAATCACCATCGTCATCATCATCACCATCGTCGTCATCAGCTTCATCATCACCATCATCAGCATCAGCATCAGCATCATCAGCATCGTCATGACCATCGTTATCATCATCGTCGTCAGCAGCAGCAGCCGCAGCATCATCATCCTCATCATCACCAACAGCAGCAGCAGAATCATCATCATTGTCATCATCAGCAGCAGCAGCAACAGCATCCTCACCACCGCCGTCATCAGCATCACAACCACCACTGCCATCACTGCCACCATCATCATCATCATCCTCATCAGCATCATCATCATCATCATCAGCATCATCATCATCACCATCGTCATCATCAGCATCATCATCGTCATCATCACCATCAACATCACCATCGTCATCATCAGCATCGGCATCATCCTCATCCTCATCATCACCAACAGCAGCATCAGCAGCAGCAACATCATCAGCAACATCAGCAATAGCATTATCAGCAGCAGCATCAACAGCATCAGCATCACCACCGACAGTATCAGCATCACCACCACCATCATCAGCAGCATCAGCAGCACCATCATCCTCAGCATCATCACCATCATCAGCATCATCAGCATCATCAACATCATCATCATCATCATCATCAGCATCATCGCCATCACCATCAGCATCGTCATCATCATCAGCAGCCGCATCATTATCACCAGCATCATGATCAACATCATTATCAGCATCATAAGCATCATCATCAGCATCATCAGCATCATCATGATCACCCTCATCATCCGCATCATCATCCTCGTCAGCATCCTATTCCTCATCCTGATATTTATCCTCATAATCATCCTAATTTCTATCCTCATCCTCATCCTCATCCTCCCCCTCCCCCTTCTCCCCCTCCTCCTCTTCCTCATCCTCCTCCTCCTTCTGCTCCTCCTATTCCTCCTCATCCTCCTCCTGCTCCTGCTCCACACCGTCCATTCCCCGTCACCCTCCCCGCCCCACCCGTTCTGTGGGAGCCTGCGCGCGGTCCACGAACCAGAGCGGCTCGTACATCTCCTCTCAAAGCGAGGGCTGCCGCCTCCTCCTCCTCCTCCTGCTTCCTTCTCCGCCTCCTCCGCCTCCTCCTCCTCCTCCGCCTCCTCCTCCTCCTCCTCCTCCTCCTCCTCCTCCTCCTCCTCCTCCTCCTACTCCTCCAACTACTTCACCTTCCCCTCCCCCTCCTCGACATAAGTGTGCGAATGGTTTCCATATTAGGGGGCCCTAGGGGTCACCCCCGGCACGGCGGCTCAGGACGTGATGGTGGGGGGTGGGGGAGCTGGGCTGCGGGGCGCTCGCTCTCACAAGAGCTTGGGGTCTCGAGTCGCTGTGCTGCGGGCGTTCAGTCTGGGGGAGGGTGGGCGCCCTGCAGGCTCGGCCCTGGGCGCGAGCCCCCTCAAGCGCGATGCGGACGCCGAGAAATTTGAGGAGGCCTCTGACTTTGAGGACTCCGCTTCGGGGCTCCATTCGCCCCCCTGAACTGGCTCGCGGCCGCTGCCTCCTCTCAGCTCATCTCCTCCTCCTCCTCCTCCTCCCTCCTCCTCCTCCTCCTCCCTCCTCCTCCTTCACTTTCACCTTCCCCTCCCCCTCCTCCGCCTCCTCCTCCTCCCCCTCCTCCTCCTCATCCTCCCCCTCCTCCTCCTCCTCCTCCTTCTCCTCCTCCTCTTCCTCTTCCTCTTCCTCCTCCTCCTCCTCCTCCTCCCCCTCCTCCTCCTCCCGCCTCCTCCTCCTCCTCCTGCTCCTCCTCCACCTCCTCCTCCTCATCCTCATCCTCTTCCTTCTCCTCCTCCCCCTCCTCTCCTCCTCCTCCCTCCTCCCCTCCTCCTCCTCCTCTCCTCCTCCTCCTCCTCCTCCTCCCCTCCTCCTCCTCCTCCTCCTGCTTCCTGCTCCTGCTCCTGCTCCTCCTCCTCCTCCTCCTCCTCCTCCTCATCCTCCTCCTCCTCCTCCTCCTCCCTCCTCCTCCTCCTCCTCCTCCTCCTCCTCCTCCTCCTCCCCTCCTCCTCCTCCTCGTCCTCCTATCCTCCTCCCCTCTCGCCCGCCCGCCCGCCCGCCTGCCCTCCCGCCCTCTCTCCACTCCCTCCCTCCATCCCTCAATCCATCCCACCACCCCTCCCTCCCTCCCGTCCCCTTGTCCGACGACGACGACAACGACGACCTGCCGAGGGCCGCTCCTCGCGCTCGGCTCCCCACTCGACGCCGGCCCTTTGCGCCAGGTCCCTGCGAAGCTCGGGCCAGCGCTCGGGCGGCACCACGACGGCGGCGCGGCCGCCTGCGGCCTGCGGGTGAGGGCGGGGGGGGGGCGAGCGGCGCGCGCGTGCGCGGCGAGCGAGCCTCCTCCTCCTCCTTCTCCTCCTCCTTCTCCTCCTCCTCCTCCTCCTCCTCCTCCTCCTCCCTCCCGAGC